GGACCCCACACCTACCTCACTGACCTTCGAATGGTACCAGTGGGTAGTCGATGCTAGCACCTTTTCTAAATTCAACAGGCTACCCTCTTTGAGACAGTCAAAATTATTCACATAAAACTCATCATTAACAACAGGATCCACTTGTGACTGCCCTTCAAATGGTCCTACACACAGTTTCCCTGGAACAGGGTGCCTTTATCATTTGGATTACTGTTCACTTTCCCCCTAGATCCAGCCCTCGACGGAAAAAATCCGCCACCGCTTCCATCTCTTGGATAGCGTAATTGCGATGGAACTCTGCCATCTAACCTTGCTCTACAATCGCGAGTTTCATGACCTTTACGTTTACATCTTTCACATGTAACACTTTGCTTACACTGTTTCATTAAGTGCCCTGCTTGATTACAAAGAAAACATTTTCTACCGTCAGTCACGGCCATAATTTCCTGCTTAATCTTTGGTTGGGGAACCTGCCATTGACCTCTTGATTGCCCAGGTGTTGAACCTGTCAACCAATTCTGATTAGAACGAAATCTTTGCGATTTAAGTTCACTTTCCTCGTTCGAGGCAGTTTCAATCAATTGGAGTAGGGTGGCATCATCGCTCCTCCTACTCTTTACTAGATATTTAATTTTATCATCCTTTAAGCCATCCACGAATGTACCTTTTAATAATTCATTGATAACATCATTACCTCCTCTCAGGTAACTTAATTGATCTAATGTACGATCATCTTGGCTTAAGTTTATCAATTTACTTTTTACCTCAAAACTAAGTTCTCTGGCAATATTGAGTAATCTATTGCTCCATTCCGTGACTGACTCACTTTGAAATTGTCTGGCTGTGAACAAGATTCCGGCTGTATAATCTAATGTACGCTTTGTAGTGTAATTCTCCTCCAAAGCTTTCTTAATATCTGCCCATGTATCAATAATTCTGTTATTCAATTTAAACTTTGCATCACCCACACTGTGTGCAAGAATACATTTAACAAAGGACGCTTTTCTTACTTCATGTAACATTTGCAGTGTTGATTCAACAGTTAAAATAAAATTACGAACCTCTTTAGGGTTCCCATCAAAAGTTGGCAGTAACTTCTCGGCATGAGTTACTGTCCAGTATTCTCCTATTCTCTCTGCCTCCGTGGCATCTCTCATTAATTGCCTAGCTTGTTCATCAGCCATTTTTAAACAATTCCTCTAAAACTTATTATTAAGCCTCCACAATTGTTAACTATTAAAGGGTCTTGACTAACCTTACAAGAGGGAAGGGTGTCCAAAGCTCTGTAGTTCGTCCGGTAGTGATGGAGGACGGTGCCCCGTCCTCTCCCCAGAGGGTGCCGGAGTCTTGCGACAGAAGCTGCGACCAGACTGCCAGTAGTTCGTGCCTCGGCGTCCCTACTGCGTTGATGGAAGCCAATGGACACAGGACTTTGTTGGACGTTCTGCTGGAGTAGCTAGCTGCGATCTCGCGTTGTCGGTGTCAGGACCCACCGTTGATGTTGGATGACGTTCGATCCTCACCAGCCCCAGTTACTAGCACACAGTTTTTCAGTGATTGGATTAGAAGAAGATTCTCCTCGAAGAAGCGTCTTCCCTTCAGGTGTTGTCGTCACTCCTCCTGGTCTCGAAGGTGATCAGTCTTCTTGACGAGTTCGTTCACAATGACAATTTCAGCTTGTCTTGGCAAGATCCCGATTCGCTGCCACCATGTTGTATGGTTGGACGTGCAAGACAAAGTGGTAGGTGGACGGAGCAGTCTTGTCGTTCCATACAAACAAATTTAGATCTCTTACGAGTATGTCCGAAAATTACGTGGATCGCCGGTAGTTGTGTGTTTTACCGGATTGCCAGGAAATTGCATGTGACGAACAGGATGTGGAGTGGAGCGAAGTCCAATCGAAGTTAGAAAAACTCAAAGCCCAGTCTGGTAGATAGGATAGATTTATTAAGTGAGTCGAACAGACGACTTACACCACTGGCTGCTGACTGTCGACTGTCCTCAGCAAGGAGTTTAAAATATGTATTGGCTCAAAGGAATGTGTTGTGTATTCCCAGCCATAAGCATAAAAACTAATAACCTCTATCTCCCTCTTAATTAGTGAGAACTGCTCACTAAAGCTTTGTTTGTACTGTCGAAGGGTTGTCAGGTTTATAGCTGTACGTGATTTTACTCTGCAGCCATACCCAATACTAATAAGTTATCCTGTGGCATGTTAAGAGTTCGTGGCTATCGCTCGGTCTTGACAGCTTAAAATAACAGGAGGGCTTGCTGCCTGGTCCCTATGACATCCTAAAATAAGAGAGGGCTCTATTCCTTATGACACCCCCCTCACCAAAAAAAGTTTGATGTAGCNTTTTTACTACAGTCTAGTGAACATACTCCCACGTGCTTCTTCGTGGCGTCGTGCTTAACTAATTAAATCCAGGGGGAAATTTATTATTATTATTGTGGCTATACAGCCCTCTGTTGGATTCTGGCCGCTTTTTCAGTTTCTTGGTCCTATACAGAGTCGGTAGGACTCCTTGGACGGAGGATCAGTCTGTCGCAAGGTCGCTACCTACACACAGAACAACACATACAGAATAATCACACACGGATATTCATGCTTTGAGTGGGATTCGAACCCAGGATCCCAGCTTTCAAGCGAGCGAAGACGGTTCATGCCTTAGACCGCGTGGCAAGTGTGATCGCCCAGGGGCAACTTTACCTTACGAAATATAAAATTACCAGACTCTAGTTAACAGCGAATACAAAATGTGAGTGTTCGTTCTTTAAATTTTATTAAAGAACTGGTGTTTACGCTTATTATTGATAATAACAAAATCTCTGGTGCAATATCTTTCTTAAAAAGCTGACGTTCACTCAGCTAGTGAAGCCCTTCCTAGCCTTCGTGGCCCGAACTAGTTCACTGTCATCTGCACGCGTTTCGTGACTGTAACGGCGCATGCGTGTGTTCCAGCTGACAAAATGTTGCGTAATTTCAGTACCTTTACAGCGACCCCTGAATTGAAATCCGCGCTGCCAGCTCTGGAGTGCCAGGAGATTTCAAATGACTTAATACAGACTTATGAAATTTCGTTGTCATTTTCACAAAAGTCCTACACTTAAAAATTCACCCTCACGACCTACTTCTGTAACATATATTTATTATTGTTCACTTATCTATGCCTTTATGTCAATAGTAGTTTCTTTCATTTTGGAGAAACCAATAGTCGCTCAGTTATTAAGAATATCCCAACAGATTATGAAACGCCAAGGTTTATTACTGTGACCACAAGATTTCGCCACTGGTCTCTATTCTGAGCCAGATTAATCCAGTCCATACTATTCCATCATATTTATGTAAGATCCATTTTAATATTATCAGCACTACGACAAGTAAATTTAACTTTTTTATTCTATTATATATGTATAACATTCGTGTTCTGCTTCCTATGGCTGATAACAATGGACACACAAAGACAGGCCTCTTATGAAATCCACTCCATGCCTTTACCAGTTTGTACGGTAGCCACGGCTATGTAAAAATTGCGGTAGAGATTTTGGATGCCAGTAGAGTCTTAATTCTAACATATCTTTTTATTTAATTACACGAGTACATTTTAATTTCTATATTTGATTGTTATTCCTTGTTTAAAATTTCAGCGAACGTTTTTTATGACACTGATACGAAACGAAATGGCCGAGAAGTGTACATATGTAATATGTTCGTCGGGGCCGCGCCATAGCTCAAGCGGTTAGTCGCTGGCTTCCCATCGCGGCGGGCCGGGTTCGATCCAGGGTCTGGTCGAGTGGGATTTGTGGTGAGCAAAGTGGCGCTGGGCGCAGGTTTTCTTCGAGTACTTCGGTTTCCCCTGCCAATCTTCATTCCACCAATTGCTCCACAATCACCCTCACCTATCAGCTGGGGCTGGTACAATAGGCCAGAAGTGGCCGCAGTACAAGGGACTTAGTCCCACCCCACTAGCAATAAAAAGAAAACATCAAGGGTAGTGCCAGCTATAATCCGGCGTCAATTTAAAGAGGTTAGAGAGATGGTGACTGGCTACGGTCGGAGTTAGAGTGTCAGTAAGGTTAGGAATTTCCTCTTCTCTACGTTGTACAGACCTGCTGTGAGGTCCAACCAACCTCCTGTCCAAATGTTACGGACGGCTCTTTCCTCGGTGGGTCAACCGGTCGGAGCGTGAAACTGGCCACTCACCTCCAGCTAGTGCCAGGTCAAGAATCGTGGATCTGTACATCATTGCTTAATGCTTAATTAGTTAAGAACAGGGACAACTTTACCTTTTTTACCTAGAGAGATTAGAGATGGATACCCACTTTTCATTGGAATACCTCAACGGAAAAAAAAGACCTCTTGGAATACCTACGCCCTGATGGGAGGATAATATTAAAATGGTACAGAAAGTAAGTAAGTAAGTAAGTAAAAAAGTAAAGCTATGCCTGTAACAAGCCGTGGAGGCCCATAGGGTCTCTGAGACGTTGAGGGTCCCACATTATCTAGACAATCGGCTCAAAGATGGCGGAAAGGTTGTCAGCCTTACGCGCCGGCCTCGCCTTACTCTACAGGAAAATTATTTAATTAATTCCTGGTACTCATTTCTGTTAGAGGCTGAGTAAACCCCAGGGCCTTAGTGCGGCTGGAAGGATTAGGTCAACTGAAAAAAAATCCATTGACCTCATCGGGACTTGAAATTAATTGGAAAGATACGGACTTGAGTCACAAGACACTGGATAAGGACCGATGACGGACTTTTGTTAATGCTGTAATGAACTGAAATTATGAGTTGTATGAGATGGAGAATTCTCAAGGAACTGAGACATTATCAAATTCTCAAGAAATTCTTTGCTGCACGGAATTTGTTAGTTCCATATTAAATGATTTACAGCTCAGTTACAAAACAGAAATGTTTGCTGTCATTATTTTATACACCTGGAGCGGTCTTTCTGTTGTAATACCGCGTGATACTGAAAGCATATGCGAGATGTCCACTTACCTATGTAACCTCCAACAATTCGCACTGACACACTTGTCATAGCCACAATGGCGAATAGTACCCCGAAGGGAGTCATCGGAGTCACTTTCCTGACTTACTGATCCCAACGTGTGAGTCAGTTTTATCAACACATTACGAGTTTTTCCTCAGCACCACCGACTTAACCCGAATATTATATATGTTTAACATAATTGCATAAGTAGAAGAGACCAGTTAGATAATTATTTTGACAGTGTTCAAATATTATCTATTAATATTTGCGTTGTTTACACGAACACTTAAATTATGTAATCTTACACCCGGTTGTAGTGGTTATTCTTCCCGAAGCTCGTACACGCGTATTAACGATTTTGTTAGATTTTTTGTGTATTAATTCTTATGTTAATTTCCGTGCCCCCAACGAACTTGAGTGTTGCTCACGTGATAACGACCAGGCAGCGAACTGACACACCGGTGCTCGTCCGCCTCAGTCTGCTGTTAGCTCCGTGACACACACACAAACAGCGTTTCAGATCGATACCGTTTGGACCCACAATACGTCCGCCTGTCTCTGCGGCTTTCGGTGTACTGAGCGGTACTGAGAGCCATGCTCTAAAAGACCGCCAACAAAATGCCACCCCTAACATAATCCCCTCCTCCAAGAAGCCAGGGTGCATTATTGACCCAAGTATCGCTATCTTTATCTTACTACGCCTCTCCTTCATGTATCCAACTCATTTAGTAACAAACTAAATATCAAACTGCGAACAACACACTTCAGTTTCCGTAACTAGCTAACCAGTATTCGTGTATATAAAATTGAGCATGCGCAGTGGCTAAATTCTGTAACTGTAACAGAGTGATTCATTTAAAACCCTACCCAAATAGAAAGAGAGCCGGGATAGCGCAGTCGGTATAGCGACTGGCTGCGGGCTGGACGATTGAGAGTTCGGAGTTCGATTCCCAGTAGGGGCAAGAAATTTCTCGTCTCCATGTCGTCCAGATTGGCTCTGGGGCCCACCCAACGCGTACCGAAGGGTTAAACGGCCGAGGCGTAAAGCTGGCCACTCCAAACTAGTGCCGAGGTCAAGAAAATGTGAATCTATACATCAACTTCTCTGTACATCTTCATGGAGTAGTGCTTAATTAGTTAAGCACAGGGGTAATTTGAACATTATATTCACGCAAATAGAAAATGTCGTTTGTATCTTACTGAACATAAAATAGAAATGGCCGGTCACGGTAGCCGAGCGGTCTAAGGCATGAACTGTCTTCGCTCGCTTGGAAACCGGGATCGTGGGTTCGAATCCCGCTCAGAGCATGGATGTTTAGTGTATGTGTGTGTGTGTGTGTGTGTGTGCGTTTTTCTGTGTTTGTGTACAGGTAGAGGCCTTGCGACGAACTGATCACCCGCCCAAGGAGTCCTACCGAATGTGTAAAATCTAGAAAAACCGAAGTGAACGGAGAAGTTCATGGAGGTAGGCCTAGGCCCACAAGGGCTGTAGTGCCAAGGAAAAAAAAAATAGAAATGAGTGTTCATAAGACATGCTGAAATGCCATTCAGTGTTCTGAACACGTGTCTCAGTTGTCTTGATCGTGTTTCGGGGGTAGAATTCAGTGTTTAGTACTATTAGACGGTCTTAAGTTGAACATTCCGGATAAAATACAAGATCTTGTCTGCTCAAGATAAAGGTAGGCTGGTGGAAGGAAAAATATGCATCTTAATATCTGCAGTGTTCATTTCTTGTAACGAATGATACTTACTGACTTTTATTTCATAGTTTCAGCATGAAGTCTGAATTTACTGACAAAGTAAGGGCCGCGCCATAGCTCAAGCGGTTAGTAGCTGGCTTCCCGATCCCGGGGTCTGGTCAAGTGGGATTTGTGGTGGACAAAGTGGCGCTGGGGCAGGTTTTCTCCGAGTACTTCGGTTTCCCCTGCCAATCTACATTCCACCAAATGCTTCACAATCACCCTCACCTATCATCTGGAGCTGGTACAATAGGCCAGAAGTGGCCGCAGTACAAGGGACTCAGTCCCACCCCACTAGCAGTACAAGGGACTCAGTCCCACCCCACTAGCAATAAAAAATAATAGCTGTAACGACTGTTTCCTTAACGCTGTTTAGCTGATCCGTGCTGTGAAACATGCATAGAGAGAGTGAGAGGGTGAGAAGGGGGGAGCGGGAGAAGCGGGGTCACATGCCAGGTCAACGATCTTGTAAACTGACCTGAAACGTGTCATCAGGTAGCGACTTAGGCCCCTGCGCCCTCAGTAAAAAAAATTATTAGATTTTAATTTCAACATGCCACATGAACTACAATCATGATACCGCAAACTTTTTTGAATACGCAAGATTTTTCTTTCAAAGTATTGCAGATTCAAGGTATTACGTACCCTCGAAAATGTTTTAAACAGACAATATGTCAGTTTCGCATATGGATGTTACTCAGATCCTGAGCAGTGCTCATTAGTCTTTTTTTTTCAGAGAGAATTCCATTAATTAAATTTTTATCCGAACTAATACACTGCGATTCCATTGGAAAGACTAGCCGATTAATATTCGGGACTACTATATCCGGTATTCTGAAGAAGACAGTTTTAGGGAAACTGGATCTGCCTCCTTCATCAGGTTAGGAAGTGGGAAGAGGAACACAGTCCAGAATCCCTGTGTTCCCGAGGGCTATCCACAGACGTCAGAAGGGTTTAAATTCTAACCGGATATGCTAGACTCAAAAGGGTTCTGACGATGGTGTATACTGTACTTTTTTTTGCTTATTTTGGACTTCATCCATCGTCTGGTATGTAAAAGGCATAAGACCACGACGTTTCGGAGACTGAATCTGTCTCCGTCTTCAGGTGGGTGAAGGTCCAGTGATTGAGACTAGCTCTTTCTAACGGGCCCAACTGAGTAGGTTTATCCTTCCCTACCCACCTGAAAATGGAGACAGAACCTGTCTCTGAAACGTCGTGGTCTTTTGTCTTTTACATACTAGACGATGGATAAGTCCAAAACAAGCCCAAAGAAGTACGGGTAATGTTGTTTAGGAAAATATTCGCTGTTTATTGTGAGAATGGTAGGAAACACATAAATACGCTCCGTGGGAAGAATTCGGGGGCAAGCGGTAGCGTAGTTGGTTGAGGCACTATGCTACAAGCCGGAAGGTCCCGGTTTCGAGTCCCGATGAGGTGGATATTTTCAATTGAGCTAATCCTTCCACTATGGCCGTGGTGTCGACCCAGGCTCTAACAGAAACGAGTACCAGGAATCATCCTGGGTATAAAGGACGGCCGGCGCGTAAGGCTGACAACCTTACCGCCATCTATGAGCCGATTGTCTAGGTAATGTGGGAGCCTCGAAGTCTCACAACCCTGTGAGGCTCCACGGCCTGTTACAGGAATAGTTTTACCTTTTTATGGGAAGAATTCACTCTTCTAATGTGACAGCAGGTGATCCTATGGGACCACTCTTGAGTTAAAGGGTTGAATAATTTTCAAGTACGGTATATAAGTCTGACATGACCTTCAGAAATTTGTGGTTCTGGCTTTGTTTTCAAGGAAAATAGTCTAATAATATATTTTATGCGGGTCATATAAAACCTCTGATGCTCATAAATTACATTTTTCAGGGTATTACACGTCAATTACTGTGCGCAAACACATTGTTTCCATACGTGATTACCATTATAATGTTAATGGTGTTCTGAAGGCTTTCAGTTCAAAACAAGCAACGAATATAGATGTGTCTGTTTGTTGTTGCAATATGGCTGATCCTGTTTCCCCACTGACTTTTCTATACAAACTCCGTGGCCTGTAGCCCGTAAGCGAACTATACCGACCGAGCGACCGCCGCTTGCCGGCGAAGATAGTGCCAACTTTAGCGGATAGAGGGCATAGCGTGGTCAGCGCAATGGAACCCCACTGCCGTTTATCTCTTTTTCTAGACTGGAGCAGCTATTTCCTTAAAATAGCTCCTCAATTATCCTCACGAGGCTGAGTGAACCCCGTTCCATAGCCACTACTTCTCAGAAAATCTGGTAGCGCGGGGAACCGAACCCGGGACCTCTGGATCTGTAGCCAGGAACTTTGACCACCAGACCACAGGGGCTGTCCGTGACGTTTCTGTACCTTTGAATAAATTAAGTCTTTGTAATATGAGACGGAAAGGAAAACATGATGTCATGAGACGTAACTCTGTATGAAGCAACTTTGAGGGTGCCTCTAACCTTGAACTAGCCATCTTTCGAAAGAGAAGTTTCCTGTATTCAACGAGGATGTTTCTATTATCCACCTTCCTAATGGCGCGTCCACATTACTCGTGCTCGTGCTCGTGTGACTCGCTATGCTCGCCAGTAATGTGGACGATATGACAAGTCACGAGACAAGCAAATTTTAAATTCTTACTTTAAAAACTGTAGTCAATAAATTAAAATACGACTACAGCCTATACACACTACGAGTAAATATACGGATCCTCACGCGCCGAAGCCTGGCGAGCAACTGAAGTAGTGTGGACGAAGATTTACGAACACAAGTAGAAGCCAGACGAGTCTTCCGACGAACAGGAGCACGAGTAATGTGGACGCGCCTTAACACGAATACCGGATATCAAAGGAACGTGGAGCTTCCGTCTTCATGCTTTTATTGTGTATGGTGAGGAAAGAGTTGGATTTCATAGAGCAGTTACAAGGAAGTCAGTATAAATCCCCAATCCTGTAACATCTGTAATTATAAAAACAATATACAGATACGTCTACACCCGGGTTTGACGCATTCGCTTATAGAAATAGCAAAAATAATCTGTTAGCTATGCCGCGTCTGTTTGTTCGCATGTAACGACTCGAGAAGGGCTGAACAGATTTTAATTATATAGGATTTCAGGTTCTTACAGCGGTGGTTACGAAGAGTGCTCTCGTGTGGGATATGGTGCCGTGTAGTTCGTTGAAAGTCAACCAACGTTTCGAAGGAACATCGCGTCGGGCCGCGCCATAGCTCAAACGGTTAGTCGTTGGCTTCCCACCGCGACGGTCCGGGTTCGATCGGGGTCTGGTCAAGTGGGATTTGTGGTGGACAAAGTGGCGCTGGGGCGGGTTTTCTCCGAGAACTTCCGTTTCTCCTGCCAATCTTCATTCCACAAAATTCTCCATCATCATAATCAGCCGGGGCAGGCTACAATAGGCCAATCAGTGGCCGCTGTGTCGAGTGTACCCAGTTGGACTCCACCCCCCACTAAGCGAATTAAAAAAAATCGCCTTCATTTTCAGGGTCGAAGAATAAGCCCTGAAAGTAGCTCTAGCCACCTGTTTTCACGATAGTTGCTTGCTTGGTTTATTCTGCCCTGAAGAAGGAGGCGATATACTCCTCCGGAACGTCGGGTGCCTTTCAACAGACTACACGGCGTTATATCCTAGAAGATACAACTCTTCAGATTTTAATTAAATTTGGAGTTGGGGGGGGGGGGTTACTAGATTCCATTTGCAGTTAAAATCAGACAAATATAACAAACTCGTTATATGAAGAACTGCATGTCTTATTGCGCGAAATTAGGATGCAGTGCAGCCCTTCTGGAGGAGCCGCCAATTCTGCAGCTACTCAAGAATTTCTCAGCATTTTATGGAACCCGAAGGTTCATTACCGTGCTCACAAGAGTCTTCCACTGGTCCCTATCCTGAACCAGATCAATCCAATCCATACCATCCCATCCAATCTCTTAAGATCCATTTTAATATTATCCACCCACCTACGTCCTGGTCTTCCCAGTGGTCTCTTT